CTCCCTGATTTTGAAAACTTTATTTTGAGAAAACAGCCAATCCAGTTTAGCTGGTCCATGATATGGGTCCAATAGTGGTGTAGTTGGATGGGGCTTGCAAAGACCTTTCCAACGATATATTATAAGCCCAATTCCGATGAATATTGAGGAAGTTATGGCCAATTTACTAAACTGGGCTCGATTTGAGCTTTAAGTACGACCCAATGATCTAGGGGAGGGCCTAATATAATTTATCATTCCTAATGTAATTAGGAATGGTTTTAGTCTTCTAGAACATTCTAGAAGGTTTTATCATTCTTAATTTAATTAGGATTCTTCAGAGTTTTAATCAAGATCAAATAGCATTTTCGACTAATATTATATTATTTTATCTTCCAGTACGGTAAAATTATCAGATTTTCGAAAACGCGTTAAAAGCCGATTTGGCGTCCAACCCCAGGCCTTGACGCCTGGAATCAGGATTGGCGCCAGACGCCAGCCATTGGCGCCTGGCGCTAGCCACTGGTCCTGGCGCCAATGAGCCAGGGCTGGCGCCAAGATGTTTTTGTGGTCTTCAGGCTCTGTTTTGATAAATTATCTTTTTTGGATGATTTTCTCTATAAATATCGTATCAAAAATTCCGTTTTCATTCACGGATTGTCAATATTCATTCGCCATTCATCATCATTCACCATTCACCAATTCTTTTATTCTTAAGTTTTATTAAACTTCGTTTTCAATCATCATCTACAATCATCAATCGTCAACAATTATTTTATGAATCATTGATCTTTTAGCATTCTTTCTAAACTTTTCTCTTTAATACAAAATTCCGCATTCACAAGATCTTGATACACCTAGCCATATTCGAAGTTGCCTTCGCCCTAGACGTGAAAGGTTTTAATTTCTGAGGGTTTGGTCCCAAATCTCTACGTCAATTATTTAATTGTTTTGATTATTATTTTTCCTTGAAGTTACTAACGTGTGTATTTTGTTATTAGAAAGAGGTACGAGACATCCAAGTAAGTATTTTATTGATTTATGATGTAGATATCATGCTTAGATTATTATTTATGATTTCTAGCATCATGTCTAGGGTATCTTTAATATCAAGTATGATTAAAAGTATGATGCTTCCTATATTCTCCCTAATATTTATGATTATTATGATTATGATTATTATTATGTTGCTTGATTATTTATTGTTATTGCTTGATCACCTTTATTGCATGTTTAAAGGGAATTTGGTATTTGCAACCACGCTTAATAAGATAATTTAATAATCTTGTTAGGTTAATTGTGATTATAATTCAAGTGATCGCCAATAATAGTTTATTTTTGCATTTATATTCAACCAACATAGATTAAACAGGTTTAGGGTTAATCCTATTAATTGTATGTTAATCAGAAAGCGCACATGAATACGAGCAGAATAAAGTAGAGGCCTATTATTAGGGCAGGTTCAATCTCTTTTAGGTTGGATTTGTACCATCATCCCCGGACCCTTATTTGGTTCATGACCTTATGGAGTTGACGATCTCTTAGATCGTTAAGGGGTGTAACCTTCACCTCGTGAACGGTTTACAAGTTCCTTAAAAACTTGTTGGCGACTCTTTTGCTCTATCTTCTTCCCTTTTGGACGCCACAATAATTTAGTGTATGATCACAGTGGGGTTCGAGCTATTGGGATTTTTAAAGGCTTGAAATTATTCCCTACACATGGTATATAGTGGAAGTTTCTCGGGGTCAATTTCTGGCTTCAAATCAAAAACTGGAACAATCTTTTTTGGGATGAACTCCTCAGATGTTGAATTTTTGCACAACCACTTGACAAAAGCACTAACCCCCTTGTGGAGATAGCCGTCCAAATCAGTTGGATCTGGGTAATAAGCTGGTCGAATTGTTCCATCACAAACTTCCATCAAACTTTAAGGGATGTAGGTGGTTGTCCTAAAGTCACGAGAGTCGGACAGTTGATCACGAAGAAAGGTAGGGGACATGTAAAGCCCTTCTTCATAGTGATAATTAATCTCAAAATAAGTGGTGGTGTTGAAATCAATTTCAGGGGTGTTACTAGGCTTGAAGGGGCTGAAGTACATCAATGGGGTGTTTGGATGAGGCATTATACGCCTTCCCCAAGAATCCACAATAGTTTTTTCGGGGTTGGACATGGTGAAAACAAAGGGGTTTTATTTTTGGGTAGGTGGAAATGAGTGTGGTACGTGAAAATGGGAGATAGCAAAAAGTAAATTTAATTATAGTGTAAGAGGAAGAGTATAATCTTCAATCTTTATCATTAATTCAAGGCATGTAAAGAAGCATAAAAATCCCAGAAAATCAAAAGAATGTTGCGTTCCTTTACTATGGTCAGACAAGAAGGTCAAACAGAAGGACCTACTTTAAGTTCAGCTGTATTGAAAAGTAATAAGTTGAGTTGAACAAGCAAAGTCAGTCATTGAATGAAGCATTAGGATAAGACAATACATATACTCAGACAATATGATTTGATGTTGGGCTCAAGGCATCTGTGATAGCTGAAATTCAATAACTATGAACTGAATAGCAAAGCATAGTGAAATTGAATAGCATGTGTGATCACAACTTGAATAGCATAGCATAGTAAAATTAAATAGCATTGTAAAATTGTAAGTGTCGCCTATTTTATTAGTTTGACGACACCCCTTAGCTTTCCACATTTTTTGTTTATCTAATTTTTACTTAATGATGTTAATCAAATCGCTGCATATAGTATAGCAAAATGTTCCTCAAAAATTGTGTTTGATCATTAGAAACCAAATTAGAACCACTGTGTATAGTTACAACAAATTAAGTAATGAATATGTTCTACTTGTAGAAGTTGTTTTATACCAGTTGGATGACTTTAGTGTTCAGTTGGACTATAACGGGCTTTTGTTATTGCATATATAATTGCTACTTGTGAAATCAACTTTGTGATAAAAGAACCACTGAACACTAAAGTCATCCAACTGTTTCTTGATGATGGACTACTGTGTACTGAACTAAACTATGTCGGGCTTTTGTTATTGCATATATAATTACTACTTGAGAAATGAACTTTGTGAAAATTGTAAGTCGCTATTCACATCATCAAGAAACAGGTTGTTCCTCAAGGAGGAGGTATGTTTTTCCTGCAAAAAATAATTTTATCAAAATACCATATAATAAATAGACCAAGTAAGACCTGTGTAAAGAGGGTGATCCCATCGTAAGGGGTACTATCCTTAAATGTCCTTGGCCACTTAAAAGCCTAGGACTTTACACTTGTTAAGGTGTAGTAGGATTTGAATTCCTGACTGTTTGGGGGACCTTGAATTAGAATTGATTCTATCATCACGCTTTTTTTGTAAGAAACAAGTAGGAGTCGCCAATGAGTTTTAGGAAAAACTCATAAACCTCGTTCATGCCTTGGAGTTTATGGAATAATTAGCACGAATCAGAAGTTTACCCATGTCTAAATTGGTCTATAAACCAGAAATGAGTTCGGGAGCGAGGGTACTAAGATAACGTTCCTTTTAGAGGGGAATCGTCATCCTAGCCCTTACACGACCTCTACTAGCTCTTCCTTTTTTACAATTTCATCACCAAACAATATATGCAACGCGATACCTAAAACTATGTTATTTGATTTTATTTACAAACATTAATTCACGTAGGAATTACATCGTAAGGTCGTTATTCTTATTTAATTAAATTCGTGGAAGAACAAAAAATAAACAAGATTCGCCTTGGGTTAAGTGATCAACCAACAATTATTTTAATTCAATTCTAATCTTTATTTAACACAAGATACTATGTGGAAATGATTAATTAATTATTTTAAAAGTGATCAAACAACACTAATTAAATAATTAAAGTCTTTTTCAACAAGAAAATAAAGGTGATTTAACTAAGTGCTCGGGAAATTACCACTTCTCTTTGCTAGATCTCCGTTTAGAACACTTATGGACTCCTCCTTGTTAGGGAACCTCCACCGTAGTAACAAAGTATCAAAAGGGTGAGTGTTTAGGACAAGAGGCCTAGGCTGCACAAGTTCACAGGTTATTTCGCCAGAGTTTTAGGTTAATTTATGTCTGTTTAAGCCTCGGTTTTAAGCTCGTATTTATAGAGAATGATTAGGTTTAGGATTTTGAGCATTTTGCCGCAGCAGGTGTCGCGTGCAACAGATGAAGTTGCACGCGGCATCCCAGCGCAAGTTATAGAGTTGGCTGCTATGTGCAGCGTAACTATTTGTCTTGCGCGCGGCTTTATTGTAAGATTCGATTTTATATTTTCCGTATAATTCCGAATATTTCTGAATCTTCCGCAGCGCAACTCTGAAAGTTGTGCTGGGTGTCACGTGCAACCGAATTAGTTCACGCGGCAGCCCACTTTGTGAGATGTGTGCGGCTTTTTCTGCGGCAGCACTAAGTTTTAACCTAGGCGCTCCTAAATCTGTCATTATTAGGGTTTAAGCACGGGCTTAAGCCTAATTATGATCGGGCTTAGTTAATTGGACCTTTGTTTTGTCTTTTTCTTTAATTTGGGATAGACTTTTGTGTTTTGTGGCTTAACCACTTATCCATAAGCATTCTTCACTTCGATCCAACACGAAGATGGCTTTATTTATCGTCATTGCACTTCCTGTCGGGACAAGAGGCCAAAAGTAGATGTATACAACCTGACAATCAGCAAATACACAGGCAAAGGATCATTCTCATTCTCTTACCATGTGAAAGGGAGCTTCAAAAGATCGTGCACAATGCTTTATAGTGGCTAGCATGATTGCGCCGCAAGAGCAACTTTTATTGCAACAAATAGATCGAAGTGGTGAGGGCTAACCTCTTCTCATGAAATCATCTTCAATAAAAGTACAACAAGCACCAGAACTATGGAAAATAAAACTCTTAAGTCATAGCTTCTACCATAAATCATTTATTAAATCAATTCACATACTATTCTGAATTTCGCATCCAATACAAAACACAAAAACTGAAGATATATAAAACATTTTAAACTTCTAATTCAAATCAATTTTGACTTGTCAATAAAAATCAACCAACCCCAATTCAAATAAGTTTTTGGCATCCACAATCAAGATAAATGGTAGTTGAGTGATTCAATTCACAAAATAAATCATTGCATCAAAAAAATGAAGTCATACACTAGTGTCATTTAATTCAATGTACTATAACCATGTAGAAGTCAAGAGCTATTAGCAAGATGACCACAAGTAAAGTCTACAGATAGGGCTGGAATACATGCTCTTGACACTCTTCCTTAGATCTTTTTCTTTTGACTCATAGATACTTACTTGTCCGTTTGTCGTACCAAAAATGTCCTCCTCAACCATGTAGAAGTTATACCCACTTCCCATGTGATGGGATCACTAAGATGCAGCAACTCCTCTAAGGCCTTCATCTGAAGTGACGAAATTGTGCATGTGTCACAAAAATAATTCCAACAGAAAACCATAGATTAAATTAAAAGGAAGGAGAGAATCGAACGGGTTACAAGCTGCAGATGAAACTTTTCATGCTTTAAGTACGAATCTTTTTACAAAAAAGAATCTATCATCCACACCAGTTATGCCTTTAAATCCAAGGCTAAGCAATACCAGTGTTCTGCATTTTTCTTGGATGTATCAAGGAAAGGGACAAAAACCTATCAAGCATAAACCAATTTAAGTATATGCACATTCACAACAATAAAATTACTTGATCACCACAAAACAAACTAAACACATACACTTTGTATTTGGTAAAGAGGATAGCCAAGGAAGGTCTTCCCATACTTTTGCCCCAACACTTTAGGATCATCTTTACCAATCATAACAAAATTCTACGACCAACAACAAAAATATAGGTAAGTAGAATACCAAAAACAAAAAAAACCCCAAATTGTTTGAACAAAAAGTGTAGTAAAAAACCTCACCGCATACGAAGGATCCATCATAATCCTTTTCCTCGTATGTTGTGATGCCCGAGTTTTTGTATACAAGACAACGGCCATCCTAACGTAATGATCTCCAACACGAGACCTCGGGGAAACAACTCGATAACAATCCCTTTGAGATGTATCTATGCCATCACAAAGAATTAAGTTTGGACCGGGCCTGCATTTGCCATTAGCCACACAATTAGACAACAACATATAGTATATCCAGTGGCCATTACACATTAAAGCTTTACTTACTCTTGATCATTTTTCAACTCCTTCCACCCTCGAACAATGCAGAGAAGCCTCTTTTCAAAGAGACTAAGCTTTTGTGGCCTATGTCCTTCCTCCAAATGTGGTGACTTGTTCATATTATCAAAAGAATAACCAACACCAAACTTTTTTGTTAGCTCCTTTGGTCCAGTACTCCCAACTTTTTCACCGTGAGTTCTTCCGTTGGCCAGAAATTCATTACCATCAAAGTATTTGGTAGGATTAACTTGTTCCCTTGGTCTTCCAGTACTCCCAACATTTTCACAGTGGGGGCTTCCAGTTGCCAGATAGTCATTACCACCCGTCATCTTACCCAAAAATCCACTAAAGGCTTTCCCAATCAAACCCTCAACAATTGGTTCTAGCCTTGTACTCAACTGAACTAATACCTGTACATAGCCAAAATCGAGCGTTAACCAAAAAATAAGGAAAAATATAAGGGAAAAAAATAACCAACCTTTACTTAAATAATATATAAAATAAATGTTTGGTTTACTTTGCAACGAAAGGCTTAGGCTTGGGCAACAAGAAGAACAAAGGATAGATCACCTACGAGTGAAGAAGGAAGACAGGACAGCAACATGGCCCATCAGGGAGTCAGCCAGCAAGGTTCAGTGAGCTATAATGAGCTAATGATTGCTGGCAGTGTCCTCTCTCAGAGTGACAGGTGCTAGTTATTTGTCCCATCTATTTTGGCAGGATATGTAAATATATGAAAGGGGGAGAGGGAGTGTGTTGGGTAGGTGTTAGCCTTAGGCATGTAAACTAACATCTTGGTCAATTTTAAAACAACTTATGTAAGCGATAACTAAACAAAAATCAAGCTGAATTCATGTAACGTATAGTTACAATTAATTTAGTAGGTTCTACATTAATTAATAAATAATGAAGATAATTGAGATGGGGTCAAAGAAGATCAGTTTTTAAACATACTAAACTATATCAGAAGCATCCATAAAACCTTCATTATATAGGATTATATAAAAGGCTTAAATTTTAAATATGAATACAAATAACTAAAAAATTATATGCTCTTCAAGAGAAAACAAAGGTTATAAAACACATAAACATCATAAACAAAATTACAGCCTAAATAGTTCAAGTTTGAACACTCACCCGCTCGACAACATCATCTATGGAAGCCTGATCCGTACCCCCTGAAATTGGGGCCTTGTTTTTAATACCAGCATGGCTGACCTTTCCAAAGGGATGTTCCGTCTCTCTTGGTACAAGGGGATGTTCCTCCCCATAAGCAATATCGATGACCTATCAATTAGAAAAAAAAATGTTACACAGTTATCAACCAACATAACACATAAAAATAATGTTGATATCTTACCAAAAGCTTGCCATACTCATTGATCGACACCTTATCTTCAAGAAGAGTTGCGTTCACCCCACCACAGTTCCATACCTTCACCCTCGGGTAAACGCCCCACTTGACAGGATCTCGATGCAAGTGGTCCAGATAATAAATCTACCAGAAAAGAAAACCACAATTACCAGATCACAATTACAAAATACTAAAGCTATTTTAAAATATGTAACAGTTATTGAACGCTATTTAAAAATATGTAAAGTGAATAAACTATAATGAACACAAAAATATATCCCATTATCAACTTGACAGAGTGGTTCTTTACTCTTACTTTAATTGGTGCTGATGCCTTGCCTGTATTTATAAAGCACTAATTAAAAACAAAAAAATTAAATGATGGATTTTAGGCCTCAAATCCATTTCCAACTAAGCATAATAAAATAATAATCAACACAATCACAAATAAATTACAGTGCAAACTCCCTCCCCTTTTCATAAGAAAATTCTCTAGTTGTTTATTAATGTAGTGGTTGTAAGAAGTCAAAGCAAAGCAAACCACAGAGAAAACTCTCTAGTTCTTAATTAGTATACTGACTCCCATTCTTTCTCATAGTACCAGCAATTCCTCGTTCCAGGAATAGGATAAAACTGTATTCAGAATAGTACATAGGTTTAAACTGAATATGCAAAGCATGTATAATTTTTTTATTTTCAAATCCAAATTATCCTTAACCTTGTAGTTTTAGCACAATGTACTCAGCTAGACAAGTTGAAAATCCAAAATGAAATGTGTTAAATGCCACCTATTTCATTGAACGACAAAAAAAATATAAATATTTTGATTGAAGCTCACCATAATGAACAAAAAACTGCCCCCATAGCAAGACCTATAACCATCTTTTTGAAACTTCCTTTGAAATCTGTTAGCTGTGTCGCATAGCCACTCGAACGTCAACGAACACTAATCAGAGTTGATAGCCTCGGTAGCCATTGTCAATGCTGGTATGAGTGACTTCGGAAAGTTTGAATTATTAGTGGTTGTACAAACCACTTTACTAAGGGCGACAAGTAGAAAGGCTACCATGAAATCTTGCTCATTAACTTCATCTGCAAGGGGAATTGCTTCACCAGATGCATCCAATGGACATAATGCTTCTAAAGCATATTTCAACGAAATGGTTTTTTTTTTTCGAACCAACACCATAAAGATAAAAAAAATCCTTCTCATCTTCTCCACCTTCTCCTCATCATTTTCACCAACATCAAAAGAGACTTTTTCAGCACCCATGGGTAACCCGAATATAGACCTCACTTGAGTGGGACCTAAGGGTAAGATCTCACTATCCCCAAACACCATCGTGCCATCTGGAATCACTCTTGTCATCAACCAATAGCAAAATTGCCTCGGTACATTTTTCATGTCAATTTCCAAGAGACCTACAAACCCCATTTGTTTGACTAATGCGCGTCATCTTGGATCAAAATTTTTCGCAACTTGGCAGAAAGATTTGCATACAATGTTGGGGTACTGCCACGAAAAGAGGGAATATGCATTAGTAGCCAACAAACAAACTCATTTACATGCACCAAAATAAAAATTATTCGTTTAGTTCTGGTACAATTAATTTGATGTCCATACTTTGGCTCTAATTATTTTTAATCTGACGTAATTCACGCAATCATTATAAGCTTATGTGTGTAAGGATGAACAATTCATTTTGTCTTTTTAGGTTGTACTGAACTTGTAATAACTTGTGAGGGTGTATGAGTTGGACTGTGAGATCACCTTGGACTGTGAGATCACACTTCATAATGGCAGATAGTTTTCAACTAGTTTTATTGAATGATTAGTTATAGTGCTGTCAACTTAACATATTGGTTTAGTTCTGGTACAATTAATTTGATGTCCATACTTTGGCTCTAATTATTTTTAATCTGACGTAATTCACGCAATCATTATAAGCTTATGTGTGTAAGGATGAACAATTCATTTTGTCTTTTTAGGTTGTACTGAACTTGTAATAACTTGTGAGGGTGTATGAGTTGGACTGTGAGATCACCTTGGACTGTGAGATCACACTTCATAATGGCAGATAGTTTTCAACTAGTTTTATTGAAGGCAAAGTAAATTGGAGCCAAAAAATATGTCTTCTATACCAGAAACCTGATTTATGAGATAGATTTAGAAATTAATACTAGTAAACTAAGGGCCTATTCTGTTTACATTAGCAGCTAAAACATCATACCTTTCCGATGTTCTCATGATGGGTCTTCAACACTGCCCCTTCGCTTAAAACTTTTTGGCCTTCGGTTATTTCACCCTACATACATACAAATCATAAACCTAGGGTTATGTCCAATTTTTAGCATACTAATCTTGGTATAAATGTATGTGCCTTAATAGTTACATATTCACTATACCTTTGCCCTTTTCTTCTTCTGACTTTTATTCTTACTCTTCTTGAATAACATCATCATCTTCATGAACTCAGAGGGAGAGCAGGACTCCTCTGAAGTATCTTCATCAGTCTGCTCATCAAAACCATTGTCTTCTTCACTACTATTATCAACAACCGCATTTACAGACTTCTTAGGTAGCTTTGCCTTCTTGTTAGTTTTGTTCTTCCCCTTCACTTCAGACCCCCCCCCCTTTATCGGGGGCCTTAGAAGTCGATGGATCCTAAATGCAAGAAATGACACAGAAAATTTCAGACTTCACCACATTCAACTAACACATTAATACAAGCACAGAACACTAGCTCACCATCAAGCATTTCCAGTTCTTCGATCGCATAACTGTCTTCGATCTCATAATTTTTGCAGGGAATAATACAAATCTGATCTGCAAAAAATCACAACTACACTTAGCATCATGGATAAAAGCTTCTACATCAAACAAGACACCCAAAATAATCAATGCAAATTAACAAACTGCCATAATCAATACGAATTAACAAACTGCCATATCAATCAGAGACCTAAAAAAGGAGGCCTAATAAAGAAGGCCTACTAAAAGATCTAACATACCAAGCCTAACCCACAGTCCTACCCAATAGTCAAACTATAGAGGACTATTAATTGGTGATTACAAGTAGGATACATTTTAATAATTTCTTATACTAAGCTTTAATTATTATTTTCCAGAGCATACATCTAAAAGTCAAACTATCACAAAAAAATTTTAGCCATCTAATTTGCATATGGTAAGAATAACTCTATAAGACTCATCTGCTTATAACACTAATAAATTAGTTAAGATTATATAAGGTAGATGACTCTGCGATTACCTAGAAGCAGAAAATAATCATAGCTAATAGTCAGAAAAGTGCTTGTTTGTAGAAATTTCCTTCCCACATTGTCACTTGTATATGATACCCTTGACTTGATGCATCTTTCCAAATTTAGACAAGGTACCCAAGAATTTTTAAAATGAAAAGAATCAAAGTATTAATTGTTAGTAAATTACCAAAATCAAAGTAGTAGTAGCAGGTTTTGAACGATTGTTAAAAGTCAGTTTGACTAAGAACAAAAGACTTGACTATAACCTTCCATAAAAGGCTCATTCTCTTTTTACATTGCACCTTGTTCACTCCTTCTATCAAACCAGGCCACTCTGGTAAGTTTCCCTAATCCACTCTCAAAAACTTATATATGATACCCTTGACTTGATGCATCTTTCCAATTTTAGATATGGTACCTAAGAATTTTTAAAATGAAAAGAATCAGAGTAGTAATTGCTAGTACATTAGCAAAATCAAAGTAGTAGTAGCAGGTTTTGAACGGTTGTTAAAAGTCAATGTGATTAAGAATACCAACTTTAAAGACTTGACTATAACCCAACATAAAAGGCTCATTCTCTTTTTACATTGCACCTTGTTCACTCCTTCTATCCAAGCAGGCCACTTTGGATTTACTTTCCAAAAATGAATCCATTCTACAAGCTGAGTAGCCTATTCATCTCAGTCCTCTCCTTTCTCTGGCTAATCTGCTTATAACACTAATAACTTAACCAGTTCATATAATACCCATCAAACCTATAATACCCATCAAACCTATAATACCCATCACACAATAAGGTTATAATATCGACATTAAGGTCTGAAACCAATCAAACTCACAACTTAGCATAAAACCATCCACACATAGAATTGCTAATCACAGAAATATAGCAATATCCCACCCAACAAAAGGCTATCAATCTATTTTTTTTTTTCTTTCAATCACCAAATTATAACTAAAACAAAGTTGGACAATATGTAATCTCAAAACATACACTATATTCATGCATATATAATCAATACCATGAAACCAATTACATTCCAAGAAATACCCATGAAATAAAATCACCCAAAAAAAAAAAAAATACAACCCCCGACAGAATTTATACAAACCCTAACAAATAAAAATTTTGGAGGACAATTTAAATTGGGGTGTTAGAATTTATGTAATTCTTAAACCCTATTATTGATTTCGAATATCAACCACACCCCCCATAAAATCCAGAACATCGCCAATTTGAAAACCCTAACTTTTAGGTTAAACGAATACAGTGAAATTAACTTTGACAAAGTACTAAAATTGTTTCAACAAGCATTACAAAATTGATAAAAACTAATGAATTTATAACTAACTCGCTTACTTGGGTCAAATTGATCATGAATGATGCGTATAATCCTTGAATTCTTCCCGTGGCAAGCCCAGAAATAATTCTTCAAGTCACCCACCACCGCAAACGACGATGGAGATGGATATGGAGGAAATGGGGAATACAGAGACCTAGAGTGAGAAGACAGAGGGTTCGAATTCGAATTTCTTACTGGAGGCGAAACGAGAAGAAACTAGAAGTTCAGAGGAGAGAGACAGTGAGAAGACAGAAGGAGAGGTAAATGGAAGAGAGAGAAAATAATCAAGCATGTGACCAAATAATCTAATTCAAATATAAAATACACTCAGGAAATACGAGATACTAATTTAACGGGCTTACAAAAAGCATAACGGAAAGTGAGGTGGATTTCCACTCAACTATGTGAATTTACCAGCTTGCCCCTGAATATGCATTTACTAATGCATCTCAATACTCCATTTAGACAAGCTCAAAATCTGATACACAATTCCCTCCCACGTAACATGATTCGGAAGAAGAAGCACGCAAATGACGTGTTTTATATACTTCTACCTTTCTAGATAACAACGATGAATAAACAATCCCAAAAAAATAAAAAATAAAGACGACAAACTCCGAAAAAAAATAGTTATGACAATTAACATCTAATTAAGTAATGTGAACTGAATCATCAATCCAATCCCATTAAAATCCAAACTACTACTCCTAGATTGATTTGACAGCTACATTAACATATGATGATCAAAATCTCAAAATTTCACCATTTTTTGCTTCAACTTCTTTCACGCTTTATACCTTAACCAAAAACTATGATCTCAATTCGACAACTATGCCGGAGGAAGCCTCTCAATTCCGGTCTCCTGTATCTTTATTCTTATTCCTTTTCTCCTCGCACGGCATCATCGTCGGCGGTTGGGTCTGAGTTCCGGCGTCCTTTGTTAGGGTTCGTCGTTCCGTCTCGATGTTGTCGACTAATTAAGCCTAATGATCTGGTTGGTTCATACTTCCTCTGTTATCAATGTATAACTTTATTTGTAGCTAATTTTAATTATATCTTTTACCACTTCGGTTTCAAATTATTTGCAATAATTTGACATAAAGTATGAGTAAAGAATGTCAAATTATTGTAAATAATTTTAAACGAGGCAGTATAAAGTTAATATTGTGAAAATACAATTTGTAACATGAACGGTCGATCGCACTACTTTAAATACACAAGTTAGACAAATTAGAGTTTGTGAATAGAATTAAAAGTCAACTAATTTGATATGGATGGAAAAAAATAATTTAATTTTTGGTATTTTGTTTCAGCTTAATTGTCTTTGTTACCAGTATTTTTTTCAGCGTATTTTACTGCTTGTCTTGTATATTGTTTATTAAATTTCTGCATTATTGAAAAATTCTTGCTAGTTTCTTAGTTTGAGCTTTGAATGGAGATGGTTTAGTTTCTGTGGTGCGTTTATTTATTGGGTTTTTAAGTGGTAGCATAGTTAAGAGCATTCAGTTTATATTCATAGGTACTTAATACGGAGTAATGAATTTGAAATGCATCTGCATTTTGAGCTTATGAAATGCAGAAAAAGGTAATGGAAGAAAGTAATTGGCGGTCTGTTTGAAACCGCTGTGAGTTGAAAGGGATATGGAACCTGTTGGAGTAGTGAACTCTTGGAAATTGCTGTACTGATATATCATGCTTTTAAGTCAATCATTATGTTGTTTATGCTGATTGCCTGATTTTATGGATGCATTCAAATATACTCCGTACATCTGAAAACTATCATGGTTGTGAACTTGTGATATATCTGAGGGCATATTAATGTAGCACCCTCGTATTTAGTTAATACTTATTTGAATGGTTCTATGTGAAAATGGAAATTCCTAAGCTTTTGATTAGAAATGATGCTCAACATAATGAAAGTTGCATTGTATTATTTGTTGCATGTTAGTACTGTATAATACAGCCCATATATCTCATAGGCTTCTATATTTGTGAGGGTTTAGGGATCGAGATGTTATCAGTCTTACTCTGTATATTGTTGAAGTAGAGACAAGAAGCTCTTCAATTTGAAGTGCATTACCCTCATAGGCACTGGTAAGATAATAATTCTAAAATCAAGCTTTAGAAGTGGATAATTGACTCAACTAATGGGAATGAATATATTCCGTAGCTAAATCTACTTCCAAGGAAATCCATAACAGTTTCATTTTTTATTTATTTTTATTTTTTATTTGGGGGGGGGGGGGTGGATGAGCATAGAGGTGGTGTGAATCAGAATATGCTAGGATCTTTGGCTGGCCAATTTTCGTAATGTAATATTATGTTTCTTTGTTAGCAAGAGACTGTCTATTAGATTATTTGTTAATGTATTCTTGTAGATTTTTAATTTCTTGTCTGCTTGTTATGTTTTCCTTTCTTATCAACTAGCTGCTCACTCATGTACTCTTCCTTTTTACTGATGTGTTATAGCCGAATCTTCACTATTCCTTCAATGCTTCTTGCTTCACAACCCATGCTGCTACTGAGCCTTCATTGTGTGAGTTAGTTGAAGTACCTCTGGCACAGACAGGTGAAGGTATTGCTGAATGTGAGCTTTTGAAGTGGTTTGTCCAAGAGGTAATAAATTTAAATATTTTAGCTGTTAGCTTGGTCTTGAAATAGATTCATTGCTCAATTGATAGTTAGAAAACAATGTATGTTGATATGATTTCCTGTCTTCCTGAGAAAATCTTTTTGTAGGAAGACGAAGTTGAAGAATTTCAACCACTTTGCGAGGTCCAAAGTGATAAAGCTACCATAGAAATAACCAGTCGATATAGGGGAAAGATTTCACATATTCTTCATGCTCCAGGAGACATTGTGAAGGTATGTGGTTTAAAGTATACTTTTAGCTTTAGCAGTAAGAGTACAGTCAAATGAATGCCATTAGACCTCAATTTCAACCAGCGATGTATGACTTGTTATGTAAGTCATTATGGATAGCATTTAACATAAAGAACGTTAGGATAAAGAAGAAAGAAAGTGTCAAATTGACAAGTAACACCAGGTCTTATAGTGAGCAACTCATCATAGATTAATTGTAATTATTAGAGTGACTTATGGTTGGACATTTAGAGGTGCTGCAATTCAGCTGGTGCACAGTTTTGCATTTCTACTACAGCATTAAGTCCTATACTGGTTTCCCTCAAAAAAAAAAAAAAGTCCTATACTGGTTCTTTTGAGATTCTTTCCCTTTATGTACCAAAACACTTGTTCCTATAAAATGCCAGAAATTTTGTAGAAGCGCTATTAGTTTTAGGATGTTTGCATAATTTGATATTGTCAAGTTCTTTAAGTGCCATTTGGATGAATCCTAAAATGCAACTCAGTTTAAACTAATTAATTGTCATTACTACTTATAAGGTTTGTGTGAACTTAATTCAGAAATACATGAAATTATAGTTATTCTAGATAAGCATCAACTAAATAATTGCAGATCCCGTCCTTGAGGAGGTTCAATATACGCAGACTTATTTAATTCTGTATTTGACATGGACTTCTAATGCTTCTCAATAGTTAAGAAGTGCAAACATGTTAAATTGACTTTGGAGCAACTTTAATATAATCCAATCAGCAAAAAAATAAGTCTTTTGGATGAGCCATGTATATCTAACATTTAACTTATTTTTAAATTAAATACAAAATCACACAAAAAAATTACGACGTGTTAAGTTAATCTAATTAAACCTAACTAAGTCTAATAAAATGATTATGCTTAATATTGTTGTGTAATTAAAAGTCAATAGTGGTTAATGAGCTAAAGAGCGCAGCTAAGTTTCAGATTAATCCAAGCCCAATCATATCTTGTTACTGTAAAGTTCGATTAAGCTCCTGCTTAAGCCATATTAATAACATAAGCTTTGGAAACTCCTAAACGTATTGTATTTAACCCAACAAGCCTTGAAACATTCCATGGACTGAAGCCTACATCGCTGCCCATGCTAGTGTCACATGCAAAGTAAGTTTGAAAACCACTTTCACATTCAGGAAAACTTAGGTTAAGTAAAACTCTCCTAATTTACTTGGTTTGCAACTTTCATTGGCAATGCTGATGGTTTGCTTCTGTTACTTCCCAATATCTCAGTCACAGTACAATTGAAAACCTTTACATTGCCGTCACAATGCAGTGACACAGCCAAAGTTTAATACCATGGGCCAGGTGCCCTTAGCTTTTTCTAAGTCTTGGGCCAGCTTGTTTTGTGGTGTCGCCTTATGAGCTTATCCCTTGCACTTCTTTGTTTCAATCCAAACTTATGTGTGCAATTATAGGATCAATTTACATTGCAATTACCCGCTAAAGTATCAGTTACTTAACTAATAAATCATCAACTCGTGATATATTTTATGAACTGCTGTCAAGAGAAATGCACTTTATTTGAAGGACACCATTTTTACATGTCTCTCCTCCCTCCTCCCCAAATAAAGATATCATGTTAACGTATGGCATATATCATTTGGTACATTTCTCGTACATTTTACAATTATGAAAGAAGAATTGGAAAATTCTGATGTTATTTTTTTTTTTTTTTGTATTTGACTATGTAATAGTATTTTGGTAACCCTTCTACTAGCCCTCTTCTTTACTGTAATTTTCTGGTAAGCAGGTTGGAGAAACACTGTTGAAGATGGCTGTTGAAGAATTTTCTCCTTCAACTGTAAGTGATGGTAACACTGAATCCAATATATCTGATCCTGTTAAACAAGATGAGTCAAGTAGTCAAGTTTCAATCTCAAGTGAAAGTAGGGTGAGTGGCATACTGTGCACACCAGCTGTTCGTAACTTAGCAAAGCAACATGGAATTGACATTAATAATATTAAAGGTAGTGGTAAAGATGGAAGGATATTAAAAGAAGATATTATCAATTATGCCAGTGCTAAAGATGTTGCTGCTGAGCCATATGTATATTGCTCTGACAAATTAGTGACGGGGAGTTCATTGTATGAAGACAGAACCTTACAGATAAGGTAATGTTTGATATGTGATACCTGGAATCCCTGGACACAGTATGCTCCTTGCTAACTAGCGTTGTTCAGTTGTTCTTTCCCCCCTCAGATGCGTAGTTTTTTTCCTTATTTTGTTTTTAGTTTTGCTTATTAAACAAGTCTCTTCAACTGTGGGTTTGCATCTAGCAAATAGATATTTCCAGTTACAATTTTCTTTTAAATAATTTAATTTGATGTGCATTACCTGAAATCTCTGGACACAATATGCTCCTTGTTTCTTGTGTAT